AGAGATTGTTATGATCTCTTCTAGTTAAGAGTTAAATTCTCAGGTCAATTCACTATAAATCAATTTAGTGTATGAATATCATAAACAAAGTCTTAAGATATTTTATTACTAATAAAATTTGATTGTTATATCTCTAGAATATTAGGATAATTGTAAGCTTTGAAATCTGCTATTCTTATATAATTTTGTGGCATATATCTTAAAGCTCCTGAATGCCATGGTAGGGAAAGTCAGCTCTTTCTCTCGAAATGCTCTCATATAGCCACGTGCATAGAACTACTGTTAAGAAAGTCCTCCTCATTGCCTACTCGTGGTAGGGGTGTTGTTTATCAAATTAAGAGGACGAAAAGTGAATGTCCAGCGCTTTAATTAGGTTGGTCGGCATGTGGAGTCCATTTAAGGGAGTTGAAAACCTTGATTCTAAACCAATGGTTCACATGGGTTCCAGGATCGTAAGAAAACAAACGACGTATGAATCAATTGTTAGACACTGCCTACCATGGAATTGTATGTCCTGAAGTTGCTCGACTGTTTTGTGGATCAGACGTTTAGATCGAAGGTGCTTGGGAATTATCACAGCCCACACACAAATTAAGTGACTTGTATGTATTCGATGCCCCTTTGTACCAATATTTGTGTTCATATAAACTTGCATCTCGAAGCTCCACGAGTTTTTTTTACGAAAATCTAAGTTCTTTTTATTCAATGCTACTATAAAATATTACTACTTTCGTATTTTCATTAATTATCTAACTCATTTGCCTTAGACAAATGCGTATATTTAGCTTCAAGTCACTCTCTAAATCTAAGAATTGATGATATTACCTGGTAGTCCAAATCGAAGCAGGTTCGACGGGTTTTGTATCTGTGTCTTGGTGTTGCTGAAGATCTGACTCCATAACCACTGAGTCACTATACCAATTACAATCTAACACAAAAGACTATTTGACTATGAACACAAATGTGTATTGGCTTTAATGGGCTGATCTCACAACAACGTAATTACGATGTTAATTACAGTGGAAAACTTTTTTCTAATCACTCACATACTAGATAGCTTATTAGTGACTATGTGTAATAGCTAATCCAAATACACCCTCATTTATTGAATTTTCATTTTTAGTTATAAAATTACGCCTAACTGTAGTGGTATTCGGTCACTGCGCAAGTGATTTTTTGTATGTACTCACCACTTACAGATATCTACATTCATAGAGCTACGTTTCAGGACGATAGCAACATAACGCAGAATGCTATATACTAAATGTGGTCTCTGATGAATCGACAACTATTTCACTTGTGTTACAAATGTTGCACATGAAATATTGCATAGGTTTTGTTAACCTTCATATTATAAGTGTGTTTCATAGTCTAGTAGATGAACCAGTACATAGTTACTGAAATTTACAATTACCTTGTCAAGTCAAAAAGTTAGTGAAAGAAACAACTTTCTATTTATTTGAACACATAAATATTGGTACAAGGGGGCACCAGATATATATGCGACACACAATAACAGTGAGAATTGGAAGAGATAAAGAATGTAAGGTGCACATAAGAGAGAAGAAAGGAAAAAAGAACAATAACGACCACAAGTTAGTGTATGTTAGTGTAATAATAATAATGGGGGAAACGGAAAGGTACAACCAGAAAGAATTCTTTCCGTTAAAGAAGTTACGGTAACTTTTTATGAAGTAAAATAAAGTTACAGCAGGATCACCACTGGCTTCTATTCTGAGCCATATCTGATAACGTCTCTAGCCACTGTGTTGCAACATCTCTCGAATCCCAGCCAAGGAGTCGTGAAGGACCAACAGAAGCCAGCCCTTTTCAGTTTTCTTTCATACCCCGACACCATGTCATACACTGACTACCTCTCTGTTTTTTTCAACCAGTCCTAGAGTCGGCAAATAATGCACGACGTGGAATTCTCTGAGACGACATTCGTAGAACTTGTCTAAGCCACCGAAGTCGGTGTTTCAAGATGGTGACACCAACTGGATTATTGTCTCTGCACCCGAACACACGATATCGAACCTCTACATTACTAACATGATGTTGCCACTGGATGTCAGCAATCCTTCGGAGACAACGATGATCGAACACAGAGTGGTCTAACATACTCAACCCGGAGAGGCCAGGTTTTACAAGTATAGAGCAAAACTGCTCTCACCGACGCGTTGTAAATCCAACCTTTTACAACAGGACTGACATCACGAAGGCACCAAAGGTGGCCCAGATTAGCATAAACCGCTCTGGCTTTCACCATACGTGAATCGATCTCATCACTCAACAACTACATAAAGATAATTTGAATGAAAAGTTTACCAGTTGTTTGTTTATAATGTAAAAGTGTTTAGTATACCATATCCATGAATTTTGAATTCTAACGTTTCCATCCCAATTTTTCACCAGTGACTAATCGACTTGGTCCCACCTATTTCTTTATACCCTCTCCCAAATAGTTTATAAAATTTTTTTACTGTTTTTCTCTGTTCTAGAGAATGTTATCTTTGTCTATTATTGTGATGATATATTTCAACGCTTGAACCTTATTGTCTTGTATACGTTATTGATTTATTTAAAGTGTTACTGAAGTTGTCTATTTATAAGTTTCAATAGTTGAAATCATGATTCAATTGAAGGTAGACCATCATGGAAAACCTGGAAACATTGGACGGCCATTTCGTATTAGTATGGGACTTCTCAGCAGTGCTCATCCAGGTTTTCCGTGGTGGTCGAGCTTCAATTGACTTATGATTTCAACTATTGAAATTTCTAAACCCCTTTTGATATATATAAGTTGTTAAACAATACTTCAGATTGACTATACCTCAATTCAATACCTCCTAGCTTTTATCCCTATCCCTGTCACTTTAATTTTATTTATTTATTTATTTGAACACATAAATATTGGTACAAGGGGGCACCAAATATATATGAGCCCCCAAATGCCCTGGTATGGCCGAGAGTGGGGTGGGTTCGCCCTCCCTCTCGAAATACTCTCACATGGCCACGCGTATGCAGCCTCTGCCAGGGAAGTCCTACTCACTGCCTTCTCGTGGCGGGGGTGTTGTTTACGAGAATGAGAGGACGAAAAGCGAATATCCGGCACTGTAACTGGACCCCAAATCAATGGTGCACATGGGCTCCAGTATCTTAAAGGAACAAATAGCGTATGAACCAATTTCTTGGTCACCGGCTTCCATGGGACTGCATCTCCTCACGATGCTCCACTGCCTTGTGGGTTAGACCTTTAGGTCAAAGGCTCCGGGTGTAGCCCCCTAAGAAAACCTCCTGCTTCGGTCTGGGCACCCGAGCAGCATCACAGCCCACACACAAATATAATGAAAATGATGATGTTCTCTGAAAACTAACTTTTCTTTATGTAACAGTGAAGATCATTAGAAAAAAGGAACCAAATTATAGTACAATTGTAGTGAATAAGAACAGAAGTGGGGATAATTGAGTGTATTATACAATAAATTACAGAGCATCTCATTGAAATCTGAGAACCATATAATGTAAATAGTTCATTTACAAATATCAGTCCATTGTCTCAGATTTCATTATTCATGCATTTTCATTCTAATTACGTTCCGTTCCCGTTCTTTCCTTATCGATTCTCTACTGAAATACATTCTATGCTTGATCATCGTTATATACTACTTGTGTGGATATAAGTAACCCACAATACACTACTGTATAATATTGATCTCTTGTGCTATTTCCATATTATCGTGCTAGTGTGGTATGGCTTGGTTTGAGTAATGTTTTCTGGTTAGCGTTTTTTAGCGAGTTAGTTTTCTACGGGATGGGGTCGTTAACCCCATGCCTAATCCTCCTCCTTTACCCGGGCTTGGGATCAGCAGTAACTCGAGAAGAGCTACAGACAGAGTTAAAGTGTCTAAGTAAGTGTGGTATGGTTAGTTGAACAAACATTCATGTCAGACTATGTATATTGATGATCACTTTCTAGATAAAGTCAGTATAAATGGATATGAAAACATAATACAAAAGTGAATAAATCCATGATTCCCAACTGAAATACATTCTATGCCTGATCATCTTTATATACTACTTATGTGGATATAGTATATAAGTAGTATATATGTGGATATAGCCCCCAAATGCCCTGGTATGGCCGAGAGTGGGGGGAGTCCGCTTCCCCTCTCGAAATGCCCTCATATGGCCACGCGTATACAGCCCCTGCCAGGGAAGTCCTACTCACTGCCTTCACGTGGCGGGGGTGTTGTTTACGAAAATGAGAGGACAAAAAGCGAATGTCCGGCGCTTTAACCGGATCCCAAACCAGTGGTGCACATGGGCTCCAGTATCCTGAAGGAACAAATGGCGTATGAACCAATCGTTGGTCACCGGCTACCATGGGACTGCATCTCCTTACGATGCTCCACTGCATTGTGGATCAGACGTTCAGGTCAAAGGCTCGGGGTGTGGCCCCCAAAAAAAACCACCTGCTTCGGTTTGGACACCCGAGCAGTATCACAGCCCTCACACATATCAAATGAGATATGTGTGGCGCATATGTATTTGGTGCCTTCTTGTACCGATATCTATGTGTTAAAATAAATATAATAAATGTGGATATAAGTAACCCACACACTTGACAATCACCATAACAACTCATATACTTAATGATAATAAATCCCAAGTTGATTATATTATCACATTTTTATGTTTCGTTTGTTTGTTTTGTTTTTTTAGTTTTTTTTCAATGTTGAAATCTATAAAGTCTAATACATTCTCTTTTGTTTCTTTTCTCTTTACAAACAATCAATCCATCAAACCAACCCAACCCAACCAACTAACCAAACAATCCATCCATCAAACCAAACCAACCAACTAAACAATCCATCAAACCAACCCAACCAATCAACCAACCAACAATTAATCCATCAAACTAAACCAACCAACTAAACAATCAATCCATCATTACTAACCAAACAATCCATCAAACGGAAACAATCAAATTTATATAGCTTCTATTACAACTTCAAGCATTAGAAAGTGGTTATCGTCGTTTACCACATTCATGTGATACAGAGAAATCACGTATGATTATTTGTAAAAATTCAATAAATTGTCCAAATTATTATCCACGTGAACCATTAACTGGTACAGATAATGAAGAATATTATATGAAATTAGATGCTCAAACATTATTTTTTATATTTTATTATTTTGAAGGTACTAAAGCACAATATTTTGCTGCTAAAGCATTAAAACGTATGTCATGGAGATTTCATACAAAATTTATGATGTGGTTTCAACGACATGAAGAACCTAAACAAATCACTGATGAATATGAATCTGGTTCATATATTTATTATGATTATAGAACAATGAGACAACGTAAAAAAGAAGAATTTATGTTTCATTATAGTTTTTTAGAAGATAAAGATTTTTAAAGTAAACATATTAGTGGTGGTGGCGGTGGTGATGATGGTGGTGTTATTGTTATTGTTGTGATTTACCACATATCTTTACCCCTTTGTTTGTATCATTTGATGAACAATATAAGTAAGTGTACAAAAAACAAGGAGAAAGGGGGGGGCATGAGGGGGCGGGAAGAAAGAGAAACATTAGGTGCTTTCACATTTGTTTGTTTGTTTCTTTGTTTGCATTTGTTTAATATTTCATTATGTAATTCTCTTGTTTTCTTTTGTTTTCTTTCCCCCCTCCCCCCCTCTTCTTTCAATTATTATATAAATGCAGCTATTTACAAAATTTTGAATTGTTGATTCATTCTTTTCTCTTTTGTTCTTATTGTTGTGTGTAACATTATTATTAATATTGATAATTATCAGTGATATTATTCATACCAACATTTATATATATATACATAATATTATTTATGAGTGTTTCGCCACTCAAACTTCTTTCCTCATCAAGTGTGTAAATCAACCAAATTCCTAGAAATAATTAGTCAATCCAATCTTTATTGTTCCTTCAATATGTATGTGGGTGTCTCTTTCTAATCTTTTGTCTTTATTAAATTAATTGTGTAGAAATGGTTTTTTTTGTTAGTGTTGTTGTTGTTGTTGTTGTTGTATATGTAAATGTGCATAGAAACAACTGAACTGCATTTAAAACACATACTCGATATATATATATATATCTATATTTTTTTCTCCAAATCAATAAGGTTCTCTTTTTTTCTCTCTTTTTTTTGGTTCTTTTTTCTCGAAAGAACGAAGAAAAAAAAAGATCAATAAATGCAAATAAATATTACATAAAAATACTCGTTATATCTTTTATTATTATTTCTTATATATCTATTGAAGTGTTATTTAACTTGGATCTACTTACTGATCTCTTTAGGATTGGAATTGATTAGTCTCTTATTAGTATATGTGCATTGTGTGTGGATTGCTTCGATATAGCTTTAATTTACAAGCAAAGATGTTTAGTGGCTAGTCCTGACCGTTGTTGCTATTTTGACGTGGTGGTCGGGCTTAGCTATCGTGATGAAGCAACTGAGCTATACTGGCTGGAACAACCGTTCCTCAAGGTTCTACCATGCCAAACAGGTCGGTTGAAGAAAGGTAAGAATAAAAGCAACAAAATCAAGGTCCGAAGGCGAAGTCGTACTGCTGACTGTACAGAGGTGTGACAGTAGTAAGGTGTTTCCTTCAGACAACCAGCATAACAGCGATGCTGCCTTCCCAAAAGGGAGGGGAGGGGTTAGAAAAGATCGACCCTAAAAATGCACACCTCGCCTTATCCCATGGATATCCGTCTCCGGCGGTAAGGTCTCAACAAGTACGGAGCTAACACAAAAATTACTCATAGAAAGGTCGTGTGTGACCGACCTCAAGCAGCTGTCCCTTGGGCACTGCGGTCACGCTCTCAGGTCACTATGACCACTTCTAATCCAATTTTTTTTTCAGGTACCTGCAGCAGTGGCTAATAGTGGAATCCAGGACGCACGTTTCGTTCTATTTGAGACTCGTCGGCTACAATTGCCTGAATCTCAGAGTTGTTGTTAATTCTGGTACTCAAACCCAGTACCGTTCGCTTTAAACACCATCGCATTATCCACTCAGCTACTGAGTCCTGATAGCCATTCGCTTGTGCAATAGAGTGAAGTTTAAATTCAGTTGGTATTGTTTAATTTGTATCTGCAATTGATCAGTCTCTTATTGGCATATGTACATCCTGTGCGTTTTACCCCGATATTGTCTTGATTCACAAGCATTTCAAGCAAAGATAGATGGTGGCCATTAGTGGAATCTACGACGCGGGTTCCGTATTATTTATGACTAATCAGTTGGATATGCCCATACCACAGAGTTGATATTCACTAACCATCTTTGTTTATAAAAGCTGTCAAATAGTCAAGATTCGTGAATTTAATTATAAACCATTTATCAATTTCGTATCACCTAAGATATTTAGTCAGTCAACTACAACGTAGGATCAGACACGTATATGTATCGGTCCAAGTTGCCACACTTCATTAGCACAACATACACACACAAAGTACATTATGTTAATGTAGATTCCTCACTTGTTATACTACTGAAGTTGTATATCTTTCAAGGTTGCTGTTCTTTGTTCATTCAATAAGTAAATCACTCATTAGGATAAAAAAATGAATACCTATTATAACATAGTGATGAATTCATTAGAATCGAGTAAGTGAATTCTCATGCGGATCATAAAAGTGATTGAATTGTATAGAGTTTCAATTGTTTAAAAAGTCTTTTTTTCTTGTTGTTATCATAAAGTAAAAGTGATAACTTGATGATGTATGTCAACTGGTTACTTTATGAAATACTCACAATTGATTGATCACTGGGTGGTGACCAATGTCATGCGTGTCTAGTCCTTATTATTAGTGCAGATCGAATGCTATCGATCATGTTGCAATGTGGCCACCAGTCTAGGTGACTCGACATTGCGGGCACTATTGTAAGATTAGATGGTGTTTGGAGGTAGTCGACAGGAAACCCTGGACCCGGGTTTCGTGCTACTTGGCACTCGTCAGCAAGGTGTACCTGTAATCTTTGAGGGAACTGGTGCTCCCTGATGGATTCGATCCCGTGTCACCCAGCTTCACAGTCAGAGACGTTACCACTGAGCTTTCCGGGCCGCGACCGACCTCCTGTAGGACTGAGATGTAATCACAATTGATTGATCACTGGGTGGTGACCAATGTCATGCGTGTCTAGTCCTTGATGATGTATGTCAACTGGTTACTTTATGAAATACTGTTTGTACAATAAATGATTGTTTCAATTTAATTTCTTATTAGATATACTTCAGTTGTTAAAGTAGATGATGTTTTCATGTATGACTTCTTCAAATTGTTGTGTATTATAAGTCTATCTCTCCTAACTTTTGAATAAGTTAGTATAAAGTATATCATACTTGAATCTTCCCGTTGATGTCTTCAGAACTGAAATTGATCAGTCTCTTATAAACATATGTGGATCCTATGCGTATTGTCTCGATATATATGCTTAAATCACAAGCTTTTATAAGCAAAGATGGATAGTGGTTAGTAGTGGAATACAAGTTCGAGTCTCGGTGTGAACATTAAGATGTAAGTGCATCCAGCTGAAGAGTCCCAACTAGGACAAAACGTTCATCCTGGATCCCATTGCTAGCTACTATTCATCTTTGCTTAAAAATCATTGAAATTTTGTTTAGTGGTTTTTGAACAGTTGACTCTAGATTCATTGTTCCAAAGTACATACCTTATTTTACTTTACTGAAAAGTTGCGTTGTATCATTGCAGTCCTTATAAGAAGTGTAGCTGAAAGCCGACCACAGGAACCTTGTCTTGATGAATGAGTTGAGTTTCTGGTCAAAACTATTTATTGTAATTAAATAAAACTAGTTATTCTTTAGGATTGAAAATGCTAGTTGAATGAGGAATTCCAGCAGGACGATTATTTCTACTAATTAAAGTAAAGCGTTCTATTATGATGCATCTATTCAACGTGATTGTTTGTCACAAGAACATCATGTAGAGATACCGTGGATGCAGTTGATTGTACGATATTACGTTAGTGTTATGGGATTGTTGTAGTTAGAGGTGTTGTCGTTGCTTGCTAAGATGTCACTGTGTTGGTTGATTATGATAGTAGAATCCAATGAATTCCTAGATGTCGAAGTCACAAGCATCTAAATTATGAAATGTAAGCCATCTTAATAGAGTATGGACGATTGATTATTGAACATCTGTAAGATGTTAAATGAAAGTACTTAGTAATTTCACATATTCCTTGTTTTGAGAGTAACTGCTTAATATGCATAAACTGAAATGTTAGTTTGTTGTAATTTCAGCTTACTAATAAGCAAACGTCCTATTGTGCAATATGTTCTCTGAGCAACTTGAGTGACAGTACAAGCCTATTCTAAACATCTTTTACGTTCTTGAAGTACGGAATACCACTTCAAGACTGTCCATACGAAGTAAAGTAATCGAAAAGATCGTCCATTTAGGTTGTTTTGATGGTTTCTAAACATTGGTAGATTGATGATTAAAAATATCATCTTAAATACAAGCAACCTATTTGGCTTCTGCAAATGTATGTCACGATTGCAGTCAATCAGTCAGTGACAACGTGGAACTTCGTTCGTACGTACATCAGTTCGAGTTGCCACACCACATTAGCACAGAGATGCAGTTGTCGATTCAAATCCCATAGTGGTGGAGGTTGTAAGATTATAAGCAGTAATTGGAAACATTAGGGTTTGAAGATGTCATTCAAGGAGTATAATTCAGTGAAATAAATTTGGAAAGAGAAAAAAAAAGGAACATAAGGAATTCAGAAGATCAGGATCTGGGAGAAAAAAAAGAGTGGATGCACCTGTGTCATTGCAAACGATTTTGAGCCATGTCAATCAGGGTCTCTAACCATCGGCTGCTATCATCTCGTGGATCCCAACCAAGTAGTCTACACCTACCAACATGGCTCAGTCCACTTGTCAGTGACGTCATGGATTTGTGCCAAGATTTGGTCTGGCCGCCCCTACCTTTCTTCCAACCTACTTCTACATCATAAAACACCGCATGTCGGGGCAGTCGGTTGTTTAGCATACGTAACACATGTCCCAGCCATCTCAGCTGATTAAGTTTCACTACTTCATAAATTGATTTGCAATCCTTACCTATTACCAGTTTCCTAACAACTGAGTTACTCGGTGTTCCCAGGATATACGAGCAATGTTTCGAAGACATCTATGGTCGATTGCAGCAACTAACTATCCGTTTGTTTATCAAATACTACTCAACATTCTTCAAAGTATTGACCGTCTACGATGGGATCACCTGTTGAGGAATTAAGCAATGTCAGAAATATATCCATTCTTTATTTTTCACAGAAGTCTGCGTTCATTCATAACTTTCTAACTACATTCCCTACGTTTGATTTTTCACTATCAGTGATATTATTTCTTCATTCTAACTTGCTATTTTGAACACTGCCCATGTAAAATGTGGCATCTTGGATTTATACACACTGAGTAAGGTCATACGTTATTGACCAGTGATTATTTAATTATATACAAATTACTAAAGTCACATCATTCCAGTTAACTATCGATGTTCATTAATTCAATCTATGCTTGATTATTTGTATGTATAGCATACATCATCATCCAGTTCGTTGATCACTTCACAATTTGTCAATTTCTAGATCCATTGTCTTACGTAGATTCGAACTCTAGTAGTATTATGTTGGGGTATTCAGAAAATACCCTAGAAATTATCTAATGCTATTCCTGAATGAGAAATGGTGTCATTTCCTCATTGGTCAATATTCATCCAACGTGTCATTTTCCCGTTGGTCAATATTTATTTGTGTCATTCCCCAGTTGGTCAAAACTTGTACAAATGTTACTTTCTATTTTATGGTACGATGTAGTCTGTTTGTTTGGTATATAAACAGAGTATGTTTGAAATATAATGATTCTTATCACAGAGGCTGAGACTTGCGTTCTGTACTCAACTGACTGGGCTAGACAGGGAAGCAGGGCCAATCAGAACTCTAGGCTGTTCTTACGTGTTTTACGCGTCTTTGGTCCGATCGATAATTCGCTCTCTCTCCTCAAATCGCACGTCTCTCTCACACAAGTTATAACATATTAGTATATATATATACTCTTCTTAAACTCTTACATACGTGTTATTTTATATGATAGGTAGATGAGGTTTCTAAATGAGGTAGTTTAACTGGGAATTGTTTATTCGACGTTAAATGGGTTATTCACATGTAACTATTTGTTTATTTTGATGATCTTTAAAAACTTTCTTAACATTAGATATCCATATGTTGCTAATTGAACACTAGATTCGGTCCTTAAGCTCTTCTATTAACCCTCAGGCTAAGTCTACACAGAGACTTGAATACGACAGAAAAGATGCGAAATATGTATTGAAGACTGATTAGATAAGATGTTTCTCAGTGTTTGCAGAGCTTTTATTTTCAAGGAGTTTATCTGGATCTCCCTAACATAATGTGGCGACACTATAATTTATGTAGGAACCAATCAGATGTAAGATAACAGGTCTCGGATTTTGGCGCGAAATTCACTCATCTATTCGGCTAAATAAATTTATGGCATTATAGCAGATGTCAATTCGTGAAAACCCCAAATGTAATTCCTAATTCTAACTACCAACTGTAAATCATGATTCTAATTCCTCACACAGGTTTGTAATGCTCATTTGGTCCTGATTATTAAGTGGACACTCTCAAGGTCATTCTAGCGTCGCTCAAAAGTCGCCCATAATCACAGTATTAATTTCCTTTGATATGCTTGAATGCTATTACGAGTTCACATCATCAACTGATTTACCATCATTCCCTAATGCCCGGTGATCCCAGCAGATGCGAGCAATACGTAACGTACGAGTATCTTTTACTCTTAAAGTCCACGTTTTGTAGCCGTAAATTAGGACAGAAAGAACTGCCGCACAGTATACTCGTCCCTTAATTGATAGACGGATATCTCACCTTTGCTAAA